TGTTTCCACCAATAGGCAGCCATCTCCAACTCTTGCCTTCTTTCACGTAGTTATACTCGGTTAACTAATAGTTCTTGGTAAGGTGTAGTGTGCCAAGTATGTAGAGGTGTTATGGTGTATATACAGGAGAGAGTGACCCTTCTATGTTATACCTCCCCCCTCTAAGTCATAGAAGGAAATGCGTAGCAGACACGTAGAGGGGTCACACCAACCGGTGTCCCCATGACCAAGTGAGGTCCTTCATATCAACACCTGAGGACGAGTTACTGCACCACGTGAACGTCACACCACCCGGTGACCCCTTGACCATGTGAGGTCCTTCATTTTCTGTTCCAACATGTTAGAGACCCAACACATTACAGAGGGGAGCAAACACACTAGACCTCATCATAACAAACGAGGAGGGTATGGTGGCCAAACTGGAAAACCTTGCCGCAGTTGGCACCAGTCACCATATAGTGTTATCATTCAGATTTAACTGTTACCTAGTTCAGGATAAGGCCAGGCCAAGGTGCAAATATTACAAGGGAAATTACAATGGGATGAGGGAACAGATGATGGGTATCAACTGGCCTGACTCATTAAGGCACAAGAACGCAGACACTACGCTGAATATCTGTAAGGGCGGAAACGATCCTCCGGCTGGTTACCGCCAGCTAACTCGCCGCTGTTTGCTGGTGCAGACGACACTTGGGGTGGTTGGACGGAGGTGAGAACGGCAGCGACTATCTCCGCCACCGGCAGGATTCTAAACCTGGAAGGCCATACCGCCAGTGGCTCCAGCTACCCTGCTGTCCGTCAAATTCTGGCTGTGGTCTCATCATAGGTCCTGGACTCGGGGCTGTGTCTCAGACCCTTTCACCTATCAACTGCCAACTCTCTGGTCATCTACTGATCACCGCATACCACGACCATCAGTTCAACACACATTCCGTCGGTGCCCCGGTGTTCTCCTTGCCTTTCAAGACGTCGCTGAAAGTGGAGTCGAAGTGGACGTTTCGCTACCCCTGAGTGTGCATCACCGTGTTCCAGAACCTTCCCCAGGGGGCCACTGCCGTAGGGAAATATTTGTCGGCGGTTTGATTCCCTATAATTGTTTGATTCCATTAATTGCTGACTCTGTATTGTTCGATTCTACTCAATTATTGACTCCATTTTATTTGTTTGAATCCATTAATTGCCGACTCCCATTATTTGTTTGATTCCCTTTTAAGTGTTTGCTTCCTTTAATTGTTTGACTCCCCAATTATTTGATGTTTGTTGAGTGGTGTCAGAGTTTGTGTTATATTTTTATAAAAGAGATGCCAATCTCTAACGGTTGTTTTGTTATTCCCTGGAAAAACCATGGTCCTTGACTTTCCTTTATTAAGATCCTGATTAGCCTGGTAAGCGGATTTCCTATCCCTAAGTCCCAGGCATTTACAATATCATATTCAGTAAAGTGACCTTGATCAGAGGCTGAGGAAACAGTCAACTCTTGAAGATGAATACATATAAAGTCGAAATTATAAACAAGTAGGAGTATCAGACCTGAGGCTTGAAGATGGTAGTTACGCAGATTCTGACTAGGATAAAGCTGAGGCATTGAACAGCTTCTTTTCCTCGGTGTTCACAAGAGAGGTTGCAATTAATCTTCCTTTATTGAGGACAGACAGTTCGACACAGCACTAACCCACATTGTGTTCACAGAAGAGGGTATTAGAAATACACTCAAAGCTAAGCGTCCATAAAAGCCCCGGCCCAGACATGGAGCATCCTAGAGGCTAAGAGAGTTGTGCAACAAGCTAGCCGAGCCCCTGAAGATCCTGTTTTGTAAATGCTTGGATGAAAAAAAGGTCCCCAGTGAATGGAAAGTGGCTTATGTGAGTCCTATCTTCAAGAAGGGCGATAGTCACTCCAGGAACAACTACAGACCGGTGAGCTTGACCAGCATAATATGTAAAGTACTAGAGAGTATTATCTGGAATGCTCCATTGGAACATCTACTACAAAACAACCTTGTAAAGGATTGCCAACACGGTTTTATGCCAGGGTGCTACTGCTTAACATAATTGTTCAAGAGAATGGATATATGGACCCATATTCTGGAACGGGGTGGCAATATCCACAATGTAT